AAAATGCAATGGGTTGTTTCTACAGTTCCATCATCAAGATCAGATGGTTTTAAGTATTTTCCCTGTATAAACACTTGTCTGCTTACAAGCCCATTGATGAGCTGCTTGAACTATATTGATTGATGGTCTCTTCTGAATTGTGAACAGGCTACAAATGGGATAAAAAACAAAGTCATTTCTAGCTTTAGAAATGCAGAAAATGTGTTCAAAACTCCAAACAATTTCTAACACAGATTGTATAACACTACTGCTTAGCTGGAAATGTCCATCCACATGTGAACTTTACAGGAGCCATTTTTATACTCTCACAGTTTGAAAAGACAGCCAGAGGAAAAATAGGAAAAAAGAACAATTTAAGAGAATGATTTAGGAGACATAAATATTTCAGTTGTGTCCTGCATTGGTGTTTTGGGGGAGGGAGACCCAGGCTTCAAACTCTATTTTTCTGTGGGAGAAAATGATTCCTCTTTGAAAGGATTTTTGAACCCTGGGTCCCCAGGTGTCCACCATCCTTTAGCTGAAGTGACATTTACGTGGCAGATGGTACAAATAGCCTGGCACGCTTTGTAGTTGTTGGATCACTATAAAAACAAATCTGCCAGATGGCTGGCATGTTCCTTGGCAGGAGCAGAGGGCCCCACTGACTGATGGAGGGAGAAAGCTGCCCAAAATGCAGTAATAGCATCTGAATTTTCTTTGGAGCACTTCTGAGCTGCAGCTCTGTGCTGAACTGAAGGGACACTGCTGTCCCGTGTATGCCACTGCCCCTCCTGCCCCTGCCCCTCCTGCCCCTGCCCCTGATGCCCCTGCCCCTGATGCCCCTCCTGGCACTGCCCCTGTCCCTCCTGCCCCCGTCCCTGCTGCCAGGAGCCCCCAGCAGCAGAGGCAGAGCTGGGATCCCCCCGGCCCCAGGGGATGTCTCCTGTCCCACCCAGGTGCCACCCAGCAGGACACTGCTGCACCACTGCTGCAGTAAACCCTCAGGCAGCTCCTGACCCTGGGTCTCTTCTTCCTGGCCCTTCTCCAGAAGAACAAAGACATCAAAATAAATGGATTCTTTCTTTCTCCCACCACAGCCACACTGGTGCACCTGTGGCTCCCTGCCTGTTTGTGCTGGCTGCCCTGGATGGAGGAAAGCCTGGAACACTGCTCTGGACCAAGGAGGGAGGAAGACAGGACTTCCCCAGGTGCAGCTGCAGCAATGGTTATTTGCTAGAGGGACTTCTTCACCCTGCCTCAGGCTCCCCATCAGAAGGAGGAGCTCGATCAGAGCAGTCCCTTCATGCCTGCACAGCTCCTCCAAGTGTCCCGTGCCAGGGCTTGCTGGGAAGATGGGACTGAACAATCTTCAGTCTCTGACTTGGTCAGAGCTGCCCACGAGTTCCTAACGGTCCCCAAGTGCTGATTGCCTGCTGACCTTAATTACATCCATGACATTTCTCAATCAAGGGTTCAGCATGTTCCTTCAGGAACATTCTGCTCATCTGCACTCCCATTTTGCCTTCAATCAACTTATTTATTTGTTCAAACCAGTTGATGACCACTAAGCTCTAAAATTCAAAATAGATGTTATCATTCTCAAGTGAGGACCAACAAGATAAACGAATCTCAGCAATAAGGAATGTGGGCCAGGCGTGCTACAGACATAACAGCAGAGTGATAAAACACGAACAATTTCAGCATGTCTGTGGTCCAACTCCTCAGCAGGGTACCAGGTCAGTGCCAGGCTGACATCTGAGCACCACATGGCTGTAAGAGGGTTATTTCAACCCTGAAATAAACTTGTTACAACTGCTAATCCCCTGCACCTCTGAAGGCACTGAGCTGAGCTCCTCAGCAGCATTGTTCCTGTCCTTCTTTCACAACCACCTTGGCTTCAGTGCCTTAAAGCTCCTGCTGAAACCAATGAAAAATCTGGAGTGCTGTGCAACTACATCTGTAATCTGAGCTCAAGTTATAAGTCATTCACAACTTTCAAAGTTCTTTCCATCCTGGTGCAGAGCCCACAGATATCAGAGTGAAGGTTCATGTTGTCACACTGAAGTTAATATTCCAGAATTTCAAATTTTCCTTTGTGACTAGTCTCTTTCAATTTCTTTCTCTAAATATTAGAATAAAAGTGATTTTTTATCTCAGCAGATTTCAGCCTTTGGAGACCACCTCCAGCTGGCACACAATAGAACAGTGACTGAATTAATCTAACCTGTTTTGAGTAAAGATCAAGAAGAAAAATGGAGAATTCACAGCTTGTTCTCAAGAACTTTCTTGCATTTCCATGCTCTAAGCTCCCTAGAAATTACACCCACCTGACAGTCTGTGCCACGAATGTCTAACAGTTCATCAGCACCCCTGATCTCAGTATTTCAAATGTTCAAGAGACAGCACCAGGAAATGCAAGATACCCTACAGTTTTGTTCCTATCAATGGCTCACTGAAACAAAATGGAATCCAAGTGGGACACAGTAATTCCTCCCAAGCCAGGTGCATGAATTAGTAACACAGCTCTGCAGTGCTAAGGAATATTGAAAATGCAGCAGGGCATCCCTGGACACAAAGAGCACAGGGGATGTGCCTGGGGAGATCTGTGAGGGTGGCACAGGGGCTGGAGCAGAGCCAGCAGGAAGGAGCACAGGGCCACAGGAGCTGCAGGGATGGACCCTGCTGCATTCCAAGCTGGAAAAAGCCACACCTAACCAGGTGAAGGAGCAAAGGGAAGGACTTAAGCACGAAGATCCCTGTTGGAATTCAGCATTATTCAGGAAGAAGTCGCCATCCTTGACAGAGTCAGCCCCGAGCCAAGCCCTGGCCACCAGCAGTGCCCACCCCACCTGCCCAGCAGGACTGCTGAGGAAGGTCACTCATTTTCAGAGCTGGCTGCTCAGAGACACCTTGGCTTTGTCTGGACCCCCTGAGGATCCCGTGCACTCCAGCTGGGAACAGCAAACTCTAAAGAACTGCAAAGTCTCATTAATGGGAAGCCTATGCCCTTTTATTTTTTTTTTTTTTTGAGCAGAAGGAAAATCAATGTGAAGGGGAGCTGAGAGAGGCAGAGCACTCATCCCACTGAGCTGCTCCCAAGAGCTCATGGATTTCTCACTAGGGCTCTCCCTGGGCCTGTTCTCCAGGACTGAAGCTGCTGCACACGTACTGGTGTGTATTGCAACTCTTTATCACTGTCAGCATTGCCCTTTTTTAGATTTTCAAATTGTTTCTGTGCCTCTGCCTGCCTTTCTGCAGGGGCTGGCAGAACTGTGCACCCCTGGTTTTGCTGGCTGCTGCAGGAAAGGCTGAGCAGGTGCCCATGGAGGGGGCCTCTGCCTCTTGCTGCTCCCCTGAGAGATGCATTTATCTGTACCCTGGGGAGAGAGGGAAATGATACTTGCCACAGAAGAAGAGAAGTATAAAAAGAATTACCATGAAAAATTAATTCCCATATTTTTTTTGTACCAAAAAAAATACAGCTTTTGATGAAAAAATCTACAGTTCTCAGGCAGTTCATTTCCAATAACTTATTTCCATTCTTTATGAAAGAAAGAATGGGTAAGAATATAATTATTTTTTTCCAGAATCTAGAGAAAAAGAGACATTCTGTCAAAAACAGTGTTCATACAAAAAAAAGATTTGATCCATTTAAATTTGTTTGGCCACAGATGTATTATAGCTGTGGAAACAGAACCACTCAAATGTGGGCAATTGAACACTCCCACTCTCTTTTACTTGCTTTATATTGTCTGTGCACTGCATCTATGAAAAGATTAAACTGTACAAAAGTTCAAGATCAGATATAACATCACTGCAACAATCTCTTGGAGCATTGGCATCTGGTGTTCCAAGGGGTGATTTAAATGGGCCCTTTGAACCTTGGCTCATGAATTTCTGAACATGGTGAACAAACACAAGTATGTGCTCAAAATCCACAGCATTTTAACATTTGCTTAAGAGGGTTCCAAGGACACCTGAGAGACGTTTCCAATTGTCACATTGGTTCAGTAGGCTTCACTTAGCTAATGTTTTGGGAATTTGTGACTGCTGGCACAGCTCAAAAGCCAGGAATTCTGTCTTAGCCTGACTCTTCATGTCAATTGCATAACAATTCTTTTCACTAGTTAAAAAAAATACTACCACAAGAAAATCCTAAATGGCCCATTTAAAAGAAATGTCTTGGACAAAGATTTGGGATGAGATTTTCCTTTAATCATACAGGGGAAAACAAAGCTGTGGAAAAACATTCTGCACAAAGTCTGTGGATGTAAATGCACCAGACCAAAAATGTAAGGAGAGAGAATTATTGAAAACGGAGCTGTTAAAGGACTGTGAGGAACTGGAAGGTCCATTCACATCCAGCCTTTCCTGGTTATGTGTTTCAGACCCCTTAAGGAAAACTTGATTCCAAAGAATTCTATATGAAATATCTTTGATCTCTAATCACTAATATCACATCATATTAAAACTTATTGCAGTATCTCATTAATCATCACAATCCTAAATCTGTTTAGTTGAAAGCTGGGCCTTTCCGAACTATTCCCAGTGGAGAACCAACCAATCTTTCAGTGACATTTAATTGCTGGCTGTCCTCTTTAATCCTGGCTAATTCCCTGAATGCTGCTCTTTAAAACAGGGTTAATAATAGCACATTTCTCCCAAGATTCTTCTGTCTTACAAGATGGGAGGTCTTGAGGCAAAGCTGCATTTTATTATCAGCCTGAAGAGTTCCTAGAAAAATTATACTTGGAAAGCAGATGGGGTCATTAGGTGCTTTACAAGTAATAAAGATAATGATAGTTAGATGGATGACCTGAGGAAGCCAACCCCCCTTCAAGTGCTCAGACTGACACAAAGGGCTGGGGTATTAACAAAGCTCTCTGGATAACACAACAGAAGCAAGAAACAAATCCAAGTTGGGTAGAAGTGAGCCCAGTTTCAGTCACTTACGTGGTGTAAGGATGTAACTGATGCATTTATGCTTCATTTTGAACAGTTACTGCTTTGCTGAGTCTCACCTTCAGGGGCACCACTTGCATCAGGATGGCGAAGTTGGTGAGGTGGTTGCAGAGGCACACGGAGTAGTTGAGGTCCCCACTCTCACGCACACAGCCCTCGTCAGACCAAACACCAGTCCCATTGCTGCAAAGCACAAAAGGCAGTGTCACCTCTGCCAAACGCACCTGCTGCAGGTTCACTTGACATGCACTGTGCAGGTTAGCTTGACATGCACTTGACTCCTGTTCACAGGAGCCAAAAGGGTCTGGAAGCCATCTCAGGCTGGGGACCCCACTAACGCTGCTAGTGTCCTCTCAATTCCATCCTGAAAATAGTTAAGGAAAACATTCACCAGGACAAAGCACAGATCAGACCCCTCCACGAACGTCTCTAGAGATTTCTCCCTGGTTCTAAAATCAATGAATGATAACTACATTTACAGTACATTCTGCATCTAATTTATGGCATTTCACCCAGACCCAGATTTCTTTATTTGGAGAACTGTAGTACCAGACAAGTCAATAATATTGCAAAATCCCCAGAATCATTGTGTCTTCTGTGCTGCCTGACCCTTACCCAGTGCCACACTCATCCTGTTAAAGCAATTCAGGCTGGAAGGATCCTCACACACTTTGCTTTTTTCTGAGCAGTGATCCTCATGAGTTTGCTTTTCCTCAGAGCCAGGACAAGCCAGAATTCCCTGTGCTCTGCCAGCCTTGGGGTGCAGTGGGGACACAGGAGCCTCAGGGACCACGGGTCACCCACCCACTGACTGACAGGAACTATTTCTTTCTCCTTTTTTTCTGGGTCCTGCAGATTGACTGAGTGATCTGTACTTCTCCCAGTGCTGTTTTAAAGATAGGTATTACCTCATACTCCTGCCCTTCAGGACCTCCTTGAGCTCTCAGAGAGACTGTTGTAGGTCAGAAACCAAATTAACTACTGTGCACCAGGGAATAAACCCATCCTGGCACAAGGAAGCTCATCTGGAAGGACAGATTTCATATTTGAGTTTTAATCCCTCCAAAGCCCCCAGGGCCCCAGCCCCAGAGGAGAGCAGTACAGGAACAATGCCCCAGTCATATTCATTTGCTTCATTAAAACCTGCTTCTAATTTCTCCTAATTTGTGAGTAACCATAACAACGAGTAACTGCCAACAGCTGGGGCAGCTCAACACAGGTGAAACAAAACTTCAGTAAAACAATAGCATGACCTTCCCAAGTGCATGGTGTTCAGGAGGGATCACAGCATCCCAGACCATTGCTACATCAACTAGGCTTACACTGTTACAGCTCAAACCCTGCTAATCCCCATGAAATGAAAAATTCACTATTTGCACTCTTTCTCAATGAGTTCACTAAGAGCAGCATATTTCAAAAGAAAAAAAAATTTAAATGTATTCAGTGCTAAAAAAAAAAAAAAAAAACCTACTGCTTTTCCACAGCTCTTATTTTCTGAGTGAAATTTGAAGTGATTTTTATTTCCTTTTAATTCTACTTTGCATTAAAGATGGATCATTGCATTATGTTTATCAATTCCATGCACTGGCCAAAATCCACAGCTCTGAAATCCAGAATTCACACGCTGCTGTGGCACAGAGCCAGTGAAAACAAAGGCTGTGCTGGAGCTCTGCCACCCTGAAACATCCGAGCACCTGCCCAAGTGGACACACTCATGAAACAAGACAAGCACGATTTGTATAAAGTCTGCAACTCTGATTACAAAATGTTTCCAGTTCCCAATTGCCACCCCAGGGTGTGGGAATACCAGGTCTCCTATCTCTGGTAAGAAGAAACAATCAGATTTGGGTTTTTTGGTTCCATTTCTTTAACTATTTCCATGAATGAAAGGAAGCAAGAAGAATATAGATAATACACAGGATCGCAAAGAAAGTGTAATGTAGTAAAACCAGGTTAAAGAATTTGGAATGATGCGACATACCTGTAATCCAGAAATGCACAGTAAAGATGAACTCTGTTACTTTTATTTAGTGCTTGGCTGTATTGTCTGGGCGTCTGCAAGAAAAAAACACAAACCCCGAAGGAATGTTTAAAAAGGCCTAAATTTCTCTATTCACTACTTCATGTTCTCATTGCTACAATAATTTAAAGTGATTGATTATAGATTAACACACCAGAACTGGCAGCAAAATTGTTCAGTCCTCATTTCTCCAACATAAGCTCCAAACGTGCAAAGACTGGCACTCAGTCTTAATTTTATGCACTGGGATTAAACTTGTAGCACTCTGAGTGAGAAATCTGTGCCTCCTTTAAGCAAATAGCAAAGCAGGATCACTATTGTACATAAGCACAAATACATTTGTTAATTTTTGCAGGATTGGGACATCATTCTTCAGTATACACATGGCTTCTTTGGGTTTTGTTCCTCGTTTGTTCTCACTGAGTAATAAAAACGTCGCATTTTACGATTAATAACTCTGAAATATGTGCACTACAATGACCAACTCCCAGACATTTTCTTTCCACAACAGCAATTACTTTAAAACATACATTCAAACTGAAAGAGCTGTGCCATAATTCAAGATTTTATTTTAGCACACCTCAGCATTATAATGACATAATTTCTATCTTCCATAAACAGGTTTAGCAACTAAGTCAATCTCCTGTATTCCAGAAGCTTTGAGATCCAATTCTCCACTCTGTTACATGAGCTTGATGACAAAATTATTCAAATTATATTGGAGTGAAGTAATAGTTTGTTACAGATAAAATTATTCAAACTAGAAGATTTCCAGTGTTTGTTCAACCCTTTCTAATACATAAATCCCAAAAGTCCATATTATGTGGACCCTGCCTTATGGCAATTTTTTAATTACAAGAGTCTTCTACATAAAAAAAATCACTGGTGAATTAACAGCTCTCAGATTATTGCAACACAATTCTGCTGTCAAGACCAAAGATAACCAAGTTTTGCTTTCCTTGTTTTAGGGAATGAAGAAAAAAACCCAACACCTCATCCTGCTGAAACTCAACCAAGTACAAGGAGTCCCTGATGCAATTTTCCTTCTCCTCTCATGAGCCCAGCCCGGAGTGTCAGGCACGAGGTAGCACAGGTCCCTCCTGGCTGGAGATAACCCAGAATTTCTGCCCAGCCAGGGCTCCCAGGACTGCCCCAGCTGTGCTGCAGATAAGGACATTGCCTGCTCAGCCCATCTCTGCACAACATAAACGGAATTTTCTTATCTGCCTGAGCACAGCCCTGGCCCAGGTTTGCAGTGCCTCGCCTCACCCTGCTTTCCTGGGGATTTCTGTCACGGGATGGTGCTGCAGGTCAGGGGCTTTGTGAGAGAGGACTGTCCCTGTCACCCCAGCACTGTCCCTGTCACCCCAGCACTGTCACTGCCACCCCAGCACTGTCCCTTGCAACCCAGCACTGTCCCTGCCACCCCAGGACTGTCACCCCAGCACTGTCCCTTACACCCCAGCACTGTCACTGCCACCCAGCACTGTCCCTGCCCTGCCCCTCTGGCTCTGGGGACGCCCTGGAGCCTTCTCCCGCAGACAGCAAAGCTGTGGAAGATGTGCACTGGCACCTCACACCGCAGGCTGGGAAGGGGCAGTGGGGCAGGCTCAGCCCCTGGTCCCCAGGAGCACCTCGCTGGGGCAGTGCCAGCCTCTGGTGCCACTGCCTTTTGTCTGGGCTCTGCTGGCAGAGCTCACGCTGCCCCAGCAGCAGCAGGGACACGCTGCCAGTGTGCTGATGGTGTCACACCCTCATCCCCACAGCTCTCCTGAAGGCAGCAAGTGAAAGAGTCTGCAGCTGCCTTGTAGTACAAATTATTTCCCTTCTATGACAGACAGTGCTAAATAACCACAGAGAGACAGAAAGATATGCTGTAATAACAGCAAAGATGGAACAATAACTGCCATTTCTGATTAGTGAGATTTCTCTAGATAAATCTGAATTCTAATACACTAAATGGAAAGGGCACCTCAGGGTCAGGTTGGAAGAAGACATGGCACTGCACTCGTGTATCTTTTACACAAATAAATCCCAGATGTATGTTTTACCCTCAATTAAATTTCTCTGGCAAGGGACAAGTCCTTGTTTTTGTCCATCTTAACTCTAAACACAGATGTCACTCATTAGACCATGAACCATACAGGCCTCACTGTCCAGAGCTGTGTATGTACTCAGATGGAGAAATAGTAAGTAAATAATAATAATTAAAAATAGATAAATATATTAAAGAATGGAAAAGAAGGTTATATCCTAATTTGCCTTTGTATTTCTCTTAAAGAATCTGTCCCATGTTTTATCACCCATTATGTAATCTCCACAAGGCTTTCCAGTGCCATTCATGATAACTGCATAAAATACTCATCCTCTGAGACTTCACTGGAGTTCTGCAGCAGAATTGTCATCAGGATAGAGAGCCCCCAACACATAAGAAACTGGCTGCAGAGGAATAAACTCCCTCTGATCTTCAACAGCTCTACTTCAAAGTACTCTCTAATCTATGAAGAAGGAACTGACTGTACCTCAATATTGCACTTTTAAAGTTAAACTGTGTGTGACAGCTTATATGTGACTTGGATCCTGTAGAACTGAGCATATTGATTTAATGACATTGATAACAGAAAGCTTAAAATACAAGTAGGCTTTTACATGAAAAGATTAAGTCACTTGAGTGTTTATTAAAAGCCTGTGAAAGGACAGCTGATGAAGCTTTCAGGGGAGGGAAAGTAGCAGCACACTGAGTAATCCAGGATCTGTGCATGTGCCCTCCCTAATCCAAATTATTCACATCATTCCTTCTGCACAGAGAGGGCACATGCAGCTTCTCCAAAAAAGAATTACACTGAAAGAGGAAAGCAACCTCTCGGCACAGGAGCAGGGCAAGGTCAGTGCCTGTCTGGGGGAGCCTGTGCCCTGAGGAAGGACTGGCTGGACTCGGGGTCTGAGGGCCTTTTCCAGCCCCAGGAATTCCCTGCTGGCTCCCTGTGTGTGCTGCCAGCACACAGCCCTGGCAGTGAGCACCCCTCTCCGTGAGCCAGGCAGAGAAGCACACACCCCAGAACTGAGGGATGCTCGCAGGGGATGGATGTGCATGGATGTGTGCTGGGAGCCAGGCAGGCAGAGAAGCACACCCCAGAACTGAGGGATGCTCTCAGGGGATGTGTGCTGGGAGCCCAGCCTTGCTGGGAGCCAGGCACCAGCCAGCTAAGAGGAAGAGGAGGCCAGAAAAGGGGGTGTGGGCTGAAAGGGCTGCTGGAAACCCTCAGGAAAACCTACTGCAGGAAATGTCAGGAACAAAATTGCAGAAGAAAAACAGGCAGCCAGCTGCTGCTGGGAAGGCTTGCCAAGGAAGAGGAGCCAAGCAGGGTGGGGTGAACCTTTGTGAGATTAGTTGTTTCTCCTCTCCTCCCCTGGATTTAAAAAGAAAATACTTAGGCACACAGTGGTGGCCACCAGGAGTGGAGGGTGTGCACCTTCTTTCTTCAGTGTGAAAAGGATGAACCTTTGGTCAGGGCTGTCACTGACCTAAACACAGCAGCTCCAAGCCCAAGGTGTTCCTCTCATCCAAAGCAGTTGACAATTTACCTCTTTAAGTTCAATTTGGAGCCCACTTGTCTCTGTTTCCTCACTTCCATATCCTTATGTGCATGTGGTTCAAAACAAATTTTGATTCTGGTTCTTGGATTAAATTAGAGACTAAAATGATGCATCTAATTTAAGGATTTCCTGTCCTCACAGTGACATCCTGACTGTTAGCGTGACCTATTCAGGTTCACAAGGTTTATTGACTTTGTTTTCCATCCATTTCTCCTAATTACCTAGAAGATCAAAACTTTAGAGTACATTCATCTACTCAGTTACCTGGAAAAAGACAGATAGAAAGAATAATCACCCCTGTCTGTGGTGGCTATATTGGCTGTTTTCTTCCAAGCTGTGAGAAAACTGCATTGCAACAGATTTGGGGCTTAGATCAGCCAACTATTTTAATTTAGAGTCCATTTGACTGATTCACCCTAAGATGTAACTAGCATATGTAATGAAAAAAAACATTGTAAATTGCACAGAAAGGAATTTAGGTTATGAATAGGGAATTAGAGTGTGTTATGGATAAAAGCCAGACTTTCAGTTGTTTCATTGTTGTGAACAGAGCTGTGCCAACACACACTTTCTGAAGCAATGAACACAATACTTTCCAACAGGAAAGTTTGCTGAATATATTTCCTAATGGGACAATCAGACAGTTAAACTGCATGAAATCACAAAGGGTGGGAAGCTGTGACAGACTGCAATACAAAATTAAAAATGAGTGAAGTATTAGAGGTTATAAAGTCATCTGAAATGGGAGAAGGTTGCCACATGGATTGGCTTTGATTATTCCTTTGCCTGAGGCTAAAAATAGTTGACATATCAATCTCCTGCAAAAATAGCGTTAATCAAATATTTCACCAATATCCTTCCCCAGCTCTCAGAGTTGTCTATTTAACAGCTGCTGTACTGGGCAAGCAGTGTGAGAACAAAAGAGTAATGAAAAGCCCCATGAGCACCAGACTGAAAAATATCTTGGCTGCTCTACCAGATATCATTTCTATAAGACAGAGGAAGGAGGAGGAGGGAATGGATGAGGAAATTGTCCTGGTGCTTTCTTTTTTAATTATGGCACATAGCAAAAAAAAAAAATTTACTGCTGTCAAATATGTAGAACATCAGAAGGTCTTGCTATTTTTCTGCTACCAAGTCCACATCCATTTGAATAAAAATGCCGTTCTCTTAACAGGATCCCATCTTTTTTACAGCACTGAACAAGGGGCTTCGTGCAGCAGCTGCCAAGCCAACATCTGAGCACTTGCAGATGTCAGGGAGGGCTGCCAGGCCCTGTCCTGTGTCACTCCCTCACTTATGATCTGTCCCTTGGTGTTTGTCCTGCTTCAGCTGGTGCCTTTGTGCATCTCAGGTCACCTGCCTACAGCACAGGCAGGTGAATGCCACTGCTGAAAGAGCAGCTCTTTTCTCTGGCTTTGGTGCTTAACAGCAGTAA